CTTCAAGAAGAAGACTGACGCCGACGGTAATATTACTGTCTACAAAGCTCGACTTGTCGCAAAAGGGTTTCGGCAAGTTCAAGGGATTGACTACGATGAGACCTTCTCACCCGTAGCGATGCTTAAGTCTGTCCGAATCATGTTAGCAATTGCCGCATTTTATGATTATGAAATTTGGCAGATGGATGTCAAAACTGCATTCCTGAATGGATTTCTGGAAGAAGAGTTGTATATGATGCAACCGGAAGGTTTTGTCGATCCAAAGAAAGCTGACAAAGTGAGCAAGCTCCAGCGATCCATTTATGGACTGGTGCAAGCCTCTCGGAGTTGGAATAAACGCTTTGATAGTGTGATCAAAGCATTTGGTTTTATACAGACTTTCAGAGAAGCCTGTATTTACAAGAAAGTGAGTGGGAGCTCTGTAGCATTTCTGATATTATATGCGGATGACATATTACTAATTGGAAATGATATAGAATTTCTGGATAGCATAAAGCGATACTTGAATAAGAGTTTTTCAATGAAAGACCTCGGTGAAGCTGCTTACATATTAGGCATAAAGATCTATAGAGATAGATCGAGACGCTTAATTGGACTTTCACAAAGCACATACCTTGACAAGATTTTGAGGAAGTTCAAAATGGATCAAGCAAAGAAAGGGTTCTTGCCTGTGTTACAAGGTGTGAAGTTGAGTCGAACTCAATGCTCGACCACTGCAGAAGATAGAGAGAAGATGAAAGATGTTCCCTATGCTTCAGCCATAGGCTCTATCATGTATGCAATGTTGTGTACCAGACCTGATGTGTGTCTTGCTATAAGTCTAGCAGGGAGGTACCAAAGTAATCCAGGAGTGGATCACTTGACAGCGGTCAAGAACATCCTGAAGTACCTGAAGAGGACCAAGGATATGTTTCTCGTATATGGAGGTGACAAAGAGCTCATCGTAAACGGTTACGTTGATGCAAGCTTTGACACTGATCCAGACGATTCTAAATCGCAAACTGGATACGTGTTTACATTAAACGGTGGAGCTGTCAGTTGGTGCAGTTCTAAACAAAGCATCGTGGCGGGATCTACATGTGAAGCGGAGTACATAGCTGCTTAGGAAGCAGCAAACGAAGGAGTCTGGATGAAGGAGTTCATATCCAATCTAGGTGTCATACCTAGTGCATCGGGTCCAATGAAAATCTTTTGTGACAATACTGGTGCAATTGCCTTGGCAAAGGAATCCAGATTTCACAAAAGAACCAAGCACATCAAGAGACGCTTCAATTCCATCCGGGATCTAGTCCAGGTGGGAGACATAGAGATTTGCAAGATACATACGGATCTGAATGTTGCAGACCCGTTGACTAAGCCTCTTCCATGAGCAAAACATGATCAGCACCAAGGCTCCATGGGTGTTAGAATCATTACTGTGTAATCTAGATTATTGACTCTAGTTCAAGTGGGAGACTGAAGGAAATATGCCCTAGAGGCAATAATAAAGTTATTATTTATCTCCTTATATCATGATAAAAGTTTATTATTCATGCTAGAATTGTATTAACTGGAAACATAATACATGTGTGAATACATAGACAAACAGAGTGTCACTAGTATGCCTCTACTAGACTAGCTTGTTAATCAAAGATGGTTATGTTTCCTAACCATAGACAAAGAGTTGTCATTTGATTAACAAGATCACATCATTAATTGAATGATCTGATTGACATGACCCATTCCATTAGCTTAGCACCCGATCGTTTAGTATGTTGTTATTGCTTTCTTCATGACTTATACATGTTCCTATGACTATGAGATTATGCAACTCCCGTTTGCCAGAGGAACACTTTATGTGCTACCAAACGTCACAACGTAACTGGGTGATTATAAAGGAGCTCTACAGGTGTCTCCAAAGGTACTTATACAAGTGTCTGGTCACGGGATCATGCATTACGGCACGAGTAAAGAGACTTGCCGGTAACGAGATTGAACTAGGTATAGGATACCGACGATCGAATCTCGGGCAAGTAACATACCGATGATAAAGGGAACAACGTATGTTGTTATGCGGTCTGACCGATAAAAGATCTTTGTAGAATATGTAGGAGCCAATATGAGCATCCAGGTTCCGCTATTGGTTATTGACCGGAGACGTGTCTCGGTCATGTCTACATTGTTCTCGAACCCGTAGGGTCCGCACGCTTAAGGTTACGATGACAGTTATATTATGAGTTTATGCATTTTGATGTACCGAAGGTTGTTCGGAGTCCCGGATGTGATCACGGACATGACGAGGAGTCTCAAAATGGTCGAGACATAAAGATTGATATATTGAAAGCCTATGTTTGGATATCGAAAGTGTTCCGAGTGAAATCGGGATTTTACCGGAGTACCAGGAGGTTACCGGAACCCCGCCTCGTCCTTGTTTGTATTACTGATTGGTACTGGTTTATTTGCAGATGATGGCAGCCCCTTGTCCTTGTTTTTTCTTTTTCCTAATATGTGTGACAAGAAGTGCTGCTAATAGCCCGATTATTACTACTGCAGAACAGAACTACTTTTTGGCTTTGTGCGACTGCCTACTGTCAATCCAAGTATAATATCATCAACTTGAGTCTAGATGCTAGAGCCCAATGCCCTTTAACACTCGCTTACCAAGCTCGTTCACATGCCATGTCCTTGTGCGCTTGTGTGGGCCAGCGCCTTGAAGACTGCAACGCCACCGGCGCAAGACCCGGAGCCTAGTCTTTATCTTACTCTTGGATTTGCTTCGAGGGATGGGATGGGATGCGATTAGTTTGGTTCATCAGATCCGGTCGGAGCAACGTATAGATGGGCATACGCATCTTTGGCTCAAGCAGGTCACCTGTTCCTGTTCAAGGGCGCCACAACTGAGGCTCCTTCACTTCAATAGAACTAGTAGTATATCAGTAGAGACCTCGATACTGAATGAGCCCATTCGCTTTCTCGTCCAGCAGCCAAACCAACTGTGATCTTGGTCTTGTAACAAACTTGAGCGTGCTCTCTCTACTCTGTTTTCAATGGAATGGTAAAAATCTCATAGATATAGATTACATGGTAGTAGAACAACTGTCAACCAGAGCCTTAAGCTTGGCCTCACGAATCGAAATACTCAACAAGACCACCATGTCTCTCCCCGGTAGGTACAGAGTATATTCTGGGATGACAGGAGTAGTTTCTAGTATTGGATCTAAACGCTCTTATATTTTTTTACGGAGGGAGTACTAGTTATTTGTAGTCCTTTGTCCTTGTTTTGCTTTTCTAGTCCGTGTGACAATAAGTGCTGCTGGTACCCTGATTATTACTACCGCAGAACTACTTTTGGCTTTCTGCAGCTGCTTAGTGCTTTTGCCTCACACTCGTGCTTTACAGGCAAAGTAGATGTACCACCTTAGCTTTGTTTAATCGCTGGTTAATTAACACTCGCTTACCAAGCTCATTCACATGGCTTGTCCTTGTGCCAGCAAGCGCCTTGAAGACCGCGCGCAACGCCACCAGCGTGAGACCCGCTGCCTAGCTACTCTTGTTTTTACTCTTGGTTTTGCCTCACACGGGATGCGCGCTTAATTTGCTTGGCAGCGATTAGTTCAGTTGATGACTTGTAACCGTACCTGATGATCACCAATACATCATACGATCATACTGTAGTAAGTAAGTAAACTAAGCAGCTCATATCTAGAGATACACATACACTTTTGTTTTTTTGGAAAAAGGCCGGGGAATCACCCCTTTTCCAAAAAAAAAACAGGCCCAGAAACTTTTCCACCTATATATTTGTGACCTAAACCCTTCCGGTGGACCCCAAAACATTTTTCACCTATGGATATTTTTCTGAGAAGTTCATTTTTTGGCCAAAATTTGACAAATTTCTGGAGACAAGTTAATATGTCAGTTTAAGGGTTCATATGTGCCCAGAAATGGCTTATATTTGCACAGTAGACTCATAATAGTGTTTATGATTTTGTAATTTTTATAAATTTTCTGAGAAATTCAATTTTTTTGGCGCCTGGAACAATACCAAGTTATGTTGAACAATACCAACATATGGAAGTAAAAAAATACTTGTACTGTTATGCGCGTCCGATCCAGATCCAAGAGGTGCTAAACCAGTACTCCTACGCTCACTCAGTCTTTTCCACTCACTCACTCTGTCGAGCTGGTTGTGCTGTCAGCTGTCTGTCTTCTCCACGGCCGGCGCTCCTCTGCTCTGCTCTCCACGTCCGGGAACGCAGCCGCCTCCGCTTCCCGCGGTCGACGCAACTCGGGTCATCTCGCCCTCTCACCACGGCGACGGTGGCTCCCGCCCGGATCTGAACCAGCCGCACCCTACCGGATAACACCAGGTCAGTTGCCTCTATCTCTCTCTCATTCCGTGCTCTGTTTCAGTGCCTCCATTCCTGTACTGTCCCGGTGTGACTCTCTCAACCCCGATTTGCAGCTAGCTAGGCGGCACCGGCAGGAAGGCAGGCCTCCGACGCACAGCAGCTGGTCAGATCCCCCATCCCCTCTCCGTGGCACAATAGGATCAATGCCTGAGTTTGGTTGACCACACAGAGAAATAAACTACGTGGTAGATCTTTTTAACCATTTTTATTTGTATGTTTGTATACATACAAATAAATGCATGTTTCCCCACTCTCCCTCTCCGTGCCTTAATTATACTTGTCTTGTGATTGTAAATTCTTGGCCTGATGCCTGCACTGCATTTATACTTGTCTTGTGATTGAAAATTCTCTACAGGTACCCATCCCTGGCCTGCTGTGCTGCGCTGCAACTCAATCCCCCATTTGCAGCAGCTAGGTACTAGGCAGGAAGGAAGGCAGGCAGGCGGCACCCCATCACCGGCGCGCTTGCGCTAACGTGCGTGCTATACACACACTCCCCCCCTTTCATTTGCAGCTTCCAGCTAGCAGCCTATATATTTACCAACAAATTTATTTTGATTCCTGAATGCAGGTGTTGCACAATCGTTCATCCCTGCGTCCGGCCAGAGGATGGCTGAGGCCGCCCTCGGCGCGGCACAATGGGTGGTGGAGAAGGCGCTAGGCCCCGTTGCAGATGGCTTGCTGGGGGCTTGGTCAGCCAGCAGCAACCTTGGCGTCAACATCGAGGACCTCAGGATGGAACTTCTGCTCGTCAAGGCCACGCTCCAACAAGCTGCCCGCAAGGAGATCTGCGGTTCGGCCATGGAGGAGCTGCTGCAGAGGCTGCTGGACTCGGCACACAACGCCGAGGACTTGCTGGACGAGCTGGACTACTTCCGCATCCACGACGAGCTATATCATACATACGATGCTGCTGACCAGCACGGCAAGGGTTGCGTCTGCAACCTCGCCCTCAATGCTCGCCACACCGTCAAAGCTCTTGCCAAACAGCTGTCATCCTTGTCCGCGTACTGCTTTGGTGCCAACACTGGTGGTGATCACCGGCAGGGAGTTGCAAGACAACATGTCAGTTGTTGTGCTTGGCCGTGTGGCAGAGGGCAGAGACTACCTGCCGATTCCTCCTCGCCGCCAAACGCCAACCAGACTGGTCAGGAGCTCAGTGGATGCATGCCCAAGCTCGGTAAACTCCTCCCTTGCTTATCTTCCCCGCATCCCCATGTTCATGGTGATGAAGTTGGTGCCAATGCGCAAGAAGCACCAATGCATGAGTTTAATAGGGTCGATTTCTCTCAAAGGATGAAGGGCACTGTGGAGCAACTAAAGCTTATGCGCAACGAGGTTACCAAGATTCTGCAAGGTTGTGGCCCTAGAACCATCCCAGACATTGCCCAGAGCCGTCCCATCACCAAAGGTCGAATTGATGAGCCAAAACTGTACGGGAGGGAGACTGTCATGAATAGCATCATACATGATATCACCAAGGGTCAATACTGTACAAAGGGTCTAACTGTGCTTCCGGTTGTTGGTCCTGGGGGAATGGGAAAGACAACTCTGATACAACACATATATCGCAACCAACAGGTGCAGAATCATTTTCCAGTCAGGATTTGGATGTGTGTGTCATTCAATTTCAATCTGGATAAGGTGCTAGAACAGATTGAAGTAGGTACTCGTCCAATTGAAAGTGAAAAGGAGGGCAGTACAACTGAAGAGCTGATTGAAGAAAGATTGAAATCTAAAAGGTTCTTACTTGTATTGGATGATATATGGCAGATTAGTGATGTGGGTGACTGGGAAAAACTCCTGTCGATACTCTACCATTCACAAGAAAAGGGTTCCATGGTTCTAGTCACAACTCGGTTTCGAGCAATAGCACAGATGATTAAAACAACTGGCCAATCAATAGAACTGGATGGTTTAAATTCTGGAGAGTTTAGAAAGTTGTTTCTCACATTTGTCTTTGGCGATGAGCAATGTCCAAGGGACAAACATTTTCTGCTTGAGACCGGAGATAAGATAATGGAAAAACTTAAGGGCTCCCCTCTTGCAGCAAGAACTGTTGGTAGATTACTGAGTAAAGAACATAGTTTGTATCATTGGAAAAGGGTCCTCAAAAGTAAAGAATGGGAAATGCAAACCGATGGAATTATGTCTGCCTTGAGGCTCAGCTATAACTTTCTCCCTTTCCATCTGCAGCAATGTTTTTCCTATTCTGCATTGATTCCTGAAGATGTATATCTCAGAAGCTATGATCTCATCAGCCTGTGGATCGGACTAGATATTTTGATACCTAGTGATCAAAATCAAACATCTGAAGATATAGGTTTGAGCAATTTAAATGAGTTAGTCAATTATGGATTTTTCAGGGAAGATTCCGATGGTCAGCGGTATGTTATGCATGACCTACTACACGATTTGGCATTGAATGTTGCATCGCATGATTGTCTTTGTTTACGTCCCCCTAATGTTGGATCAGTGGTAATTCAGCCAACCACCCGTCACTTGTCTATAAGCACACATGACTTAGGCGAATATGATGCAGTGTCAGGTGAAAAATTAAGAAGTGAATTGGAAGAACTGAAGACAAAATTGAAGGGTGAACATTTGCACACATTGGTGTTATTGGGTAAAATGGATGGAAGTTTTGCCAAGATATTTGGTGATTTTTTTCTGGAAGCAAATGCTCTTCGTGTTCTTTATTTGTTTGACATGATGTATCCCATGGAGTTCATGTTACATCACTTTTCAGGACTTGTCCACCTACGATTCCTATGTCTAGGGACATGTGACAGAGAGATGCATTTACCACTCAACATCTCTAAATTTTATCATTTAAGGGTTCTAGATCTTGAGCCATGGGGTGGGAGTTGTGATTTGCCCAGAGACATGAGCAATCTTGCAAAACTGTGCCATATTCATACCCGTGATGGTGAGCTTCATTCTGGTATTTATAATGTGGGAAAACTTAAACTCTTAGAAGAGTTGAAGGTATTTCGAGTCAATAAAGAAAGTGAAGGATTTGAAGCAAAGCAACTAGAGCATTTAAGCAAGCTCAGGGAGCTTGGCATCTATAACCTTGAGAAGATAGATACTGTAGAAGAAGCAGCTCAAGCAAAACTGATGGAGAAAAAATACTTGAAGAGGTTATCATTGAACTGGGATAGTGAGCGGTCTACTGTCGAGGCTAGTGTTGAAGCAGCGGTTCTTGAGAGCCTTCAACCTCATGGAGATCTTCAAGTGTTGTGTATTAGAGGGCACGGAGGTCTTTCTTCTCCAACATGGCTGGCAGAGGAGTTCGCTGTTGAAGCTCTACAATCTCTTTATCTGAATGGTGTTTCTTGGGAAGTTTTCCCTTCTTTAGGGAAGGCTTGGGATCTTCGTGAGCTAAAATTGAAGCATATTGCCAGACTGAAGGATTTTATCATAGAGAGAAGCTTTTGCAGGCTAATAAATCTTACACTCATTGGCCTAGGAAGTTTTGAAAATTGGGTTTACACAGGTGAACAAGAGTCTTCCATTAGTGGAGAATTGTTGCCACCGGATGCTCATATGTTCCCTCTTTTGCAAGTTCTGGTTATTAGAGAGTGCCCGAAACTGTTGGGGTTGCCTTTCTCAAACCACATTGTTTCCCCAGATTGGTTCCCCAAGCTACAAGAGCTTGAGGTACATGACTGTCCTGAATTCTTGCCAGTGATTCCCATATCCTGGATTGAAGGTCTGCGTCAAGTCATGATGAAAAATGTAAAGTTACTGAAGCATTTTTGGTACTCAAAATCATCCGGTGGAGCAGAATTGAGAATTACCGGAGAGAGTGATCTGCTTAGCTTAGACCAAGTGCTGGTTTTTGATAAAGAAACAGGTCTAGAGACGCTGAGACTGGACAAGTGCCCACCTCTGGAGTTGAAGCACCTTCTGATGCTAACATCGTTGAAGACATTGCTTGTAATAAATTCAGTTGGTCTAGTTGGACCACTAGGAGGAGGTCAGAGTGATGTGGAATGGGAGCTCCATGTTGAGTGTATCCAGATCTGCGAATTAAATGGTAATACTGGCGAGGAACTGACAGAGCTCCTTCCCCACCTCCCAAAGCTCTCCAAATTGGAAATACGGAAGTGTAAAAACATAAAAAAGCTGGTAGTGGGTGTGGATGTGCAACAGACAACACAAGAAGCATCAGAGATAACCGCAGCAGCAGAGGAAGAGGATGATGGGGTGCTGCTCTTCCCCGCTCATCTCCGTGACTCACTACGGGAGTTGGTGATCTTTAAATGCCCAGAGCTGGTCCTGGTGGACCCGCCAACTCTTGTTCCTGGAGAAGGATGGCTCCAAGCCTTGCGATCCCTCCAGAGATTAACAATACTGTGGTCCCCAAAGTTTCTATCCACCTTCTCCTTTTCCTGTCACATTTTCCCTTCCTCCCTGCAGTTTCTGATGCTTTGGTTTGTGAAAGGCTTAAGGACACTGGAGCCCCTCTCAAACCTCTCCTCTCTCACCACATTAAAATTGCATGGTTGTGGAGAGGATCTGAAATGTCAGGGCTTGTGCTCTCTCCTTACCACTGGAGGCCAGCTCAACGAATTAGAGGTCATGCACAGCCCTAGATTCTTTGCTGATTGGGATCCCAACCCCAGACGGGCTTTGGAAGATGCTGAGGGAGGTGAAGAGCAGCAGGCACCGCTTGCTTCATCCACACTGCGTGAGCTTAAAACAAATGACATGGCAGGACTTCTTGCTGCACCCGTCTGCAGATTCCTCTCTTCCTCCCTCACCAAGCTGGAACTTTGGGGGCATTGGTGTGAAGGGATGGAGCGGTTTAGCAAGGAGCAAGAGGACGCCCTTCAACTCCTCTCCTCCCTCCAGGAACTAGAGTTTTGGGACTTCAACGATCTTCAGCAACTCCCTGCAGGGCTGCGTAACCTCACCAGCCTCAAGATATTATCAGTCAAGTTCTGTCCAGCCATCTCGTCATTGCCCAACGATGCCCTCTCGGATTCACTGGAAAAGCTAGATATCTTCAGGTGCAGCGAGGAGTTAAAACAGTACTGCAGGGGGTTAGAGGGAACCATCCCAGAACTCTTAATACACTGATCCAAGGTAACACAAACATACTTTCTTGGTGTTTTTCCACTTTGCCCATCATCAGCCTGGTAGTGATATCTTCAGCTGCAGGGAGGAGCTGAAACAGCAGTGCAGGGGGTTAGTGGGAACCATCCCCAAAATCAAATAGACATCATTGACTACTGATCCAAGGTAACACAAACATATTTTTGTGTGTGTGTGTTTTCCTAATAACACATAGTTTGTTCCCATCCACTATGCAGGACGATGCCTTGGAGTTCCCTTGTACATTCCTCTAGCCTTGTAGAGCTCTTCCCTTCCCATTCAAACACATGCATGACACAACGAAGGCCTTGTGGCTGTGGCCTTCCTTCCTCTACTTAAATCTGGTAAGTACATCTAAACTGGAACTTTACTCCTGCTGTACTATATCTGATAAGACACCACGTGTGCTGATTGGCCCTGATCTTTCACCACACACTAATAACAACAATATTTGGGGTTTTTTGGTGGAGAAGTGTATGAACTAGGAGAGAAGTTGATCTATCTAGCAACCAGAAATTAGATCGAATAGATAACTTGGTTGAAGCAAAGTAGATGTGAGAGGAGAAGCAGAAAATAAGATGGGGATTAAGCACATGGGGCTGCACCCAAAATACCTTTCTGATTGAGATTTCTCAACAACATACTTCTGAACTGAACTATAACTGGGCTCCCTCTTGGTTCTTGGTTCTAATTTCAGGTGGAGCCATTACATGCAAAACCACAAAAAGAAAAAAAATCCACTTTTACTCCTGCCATATCAGATTCCCATTTTCTTCTCAACGGTAGTGAAACTATTTAAGATTTGTTTCTCGACGCCCCTTTTCTTTCCACAAATCAATAAAATTGACATCATTATCAGCCAATGCCTTCTGCAAGTCTATCTTCTTTTCTTCCAACAAAACCTGTGATCACCATTTGTTTTTGTTATCTGTGCAGGTATTTGTTCGATCTTATAGGCTTCTTCATATTTTGCAATTAAATTTGGGTTATTGTTATTCATCAAGACGTGGCAGTCTACTCCCCTATTTTGGGTGTCACGATCAAAATAGCAGTAGGACATCAGTATGGAATAAATGAGACTTCGGGCCAAGCTACTGATATTAAGGTGAATTTTTCTTTTCATAGACTGCTATGTTGCTGTGAGTACCAGGTGTTCTTGCATTTCTAATTTCTGTCGGCTTGCTGTTCAGGTGTTCTTATGTTTGTTTGGTGGCTTTCAAGCCACCTGTGTTTACATTTTGTCCAAAACTCATGAAGACTGAAGGTGTGTCCGGAAAATGTTCAGTTTTAGGGATCAAAGAATCATCTTGGCATAATTATGGAAAACAATGAATTTTCAGTGTTTTGCTGCTGATCATGTTTGCAGTTTTGCTTTCCAGGTATACTTGCAACTTATAGGTTTGCTACCAATACGTACTGTCAGTAGCTAATCTCAGTTATGATGTTTGCTCTGTTTTGTAGATGAATCTCCTCAGAAGCAACAGATTGAGTTGGGGGAAAGGTGTGGTTGGCAGTCTTCTTCCACTGCAATAGCCACACACGAATGGTGCTGTTCGGTGGATGCAGTTTTAAGTTTCAGCTGTTCCTTGTGACATCCTTGATACCTTGCCCCTCATTCTATTCTTCCTCGGATGCAGTGTACCAACCAAATCCGTCTAAAGCGCACACTGGTCGCCCAGGAATTGCTGCAGCCATTGCCAATAGCATCCCCCAAAGCACATTGTCAAGCTGATGTTGCATATGATATTTTCGAAGGTATCCCCGTGCTGCTGCAGCATTCTGCAAGAAAAGGATAAAGGTCAGGTCTAAATATTCAGATATGCTTCATTTTAATCACATGGAGGGATGATGCTTTTGTACTAATTAACAAGCAACTCATCTGCGCAGGCCATAATTACCATTTTTCCTCCATGTGCAGCTGACAGCCTTTTATCACGAAAAACTGACACTGCAAAGGTAAGAAGGAGGCTATGTATGTCTGCTCTGTGTAGAGGGACGCTATGAATAATCAGCTGACTCAATGGCCGGTCGATTTTTGCAGGTGTGAGTAATTGGTGAAGGTTTTGTACTCACGGTTCTCGCCAAGAACTGCAACTCCAGCAGAACGTTTATTCATGTGAGGTAATAAGGCCACAGTGAAATGCAACTCTGCAAGAAGCACACTAGCTAGCTAACATGTTCTTATTAGTGCTTAACCGACTTGAAAACGTTTCAGAATTGGAGTGCTGCCAAGGAATTGAATTGCAAGTCTACGGAATAAGAATGCTAATGAAGAAGAAGCCTTTCCTAGGTTAGTATCTCGGTCATTCGGTATTAGTGTTGTGCAGTATAAAATAATCTGACCCTGACCGGCAGAACCATGCCAATTACTTACACACCTTGTCAGGAACCAGACTGCAGCTTCTGAAGAAATCGACACTTGTCATGTTGTTATCTGAAGAAATCGACACCCAGTGGTTATCTTCATCAAATCTAACAGCAACGTACCACCGATTTCCACGGAGTTCCGACACACTGCCACACCCTTGATCGTGCATCCAATGGCTCTGAAGACTAGAGCTGTCACTTTTTGAATTACTTTTACTGTCTCCTTGTTCACCAGCTTTTACATTATTAGCATTATAAAAGCTACCTTTCACTAGCTCAAAAAAGAAGTTACCTTTCACTGGTTGTAATGGGTACAAAACGCCAGATCGATCTGATAGCCCTGGAGCTCAACTTCCTGTACTTGGGGTAAATCCCAGACGCCATGTCCTTGGCTGGCGTGAACGTGTACCCTTAATTCGCTATATATTTTCTGTCACGACCATCCTCTGAATTCACCTAGCTACAAGGTGTGATCTGAGAGTAATTTAGTTTTCTCAGCAGAAGAATGTTGCTGATCTCATCTGGCTTGCTTGAAGTCATGACCTTCAGTTGTGTTCCGGAAATCCTGTAGATCATCGCCAAATTAGGGGTGTGAAGTCCCAAGATATCAGCATCACCATAGGAGAGGAGAGGAGCACCATTTACTGCATTTTGTGCATCAACATTTTGTGATCTCGTCAAATATACGAGCTTCTTTTCTTCGCCATGAACTGCATGGTCTTGTGCTCCAGACTTGGTAGCAGCAGTTAAATTTGTGATGTTGTACGCAATGGAGTTTCTCTTTTGAAGTGATGAAACATCTTAGACATGCTACATACAGTATAAAAAGAGTTCACCATTTCATTTTTGGTAGTTTCAGTGGGTATCAAAAGAAAAATTATATCAAAAACTTTTGACACACTTGAAATCAAATTCAAATATAGCAGATATCTTTTTCTCAAAATTTAATAAGAAATCTCAAAATAAATAATTCTGAATAGTTTTTTAAATTTCAGATATTTGAGTTCTAGTACCAAAATCCCAAACCTTGCCAAAAAGTCCAAATCTTACTACCAAAGCTTTTATAACATTGAAATATGCTTTTGCAGACTAACTAAAAGTGTGCTTCATATTAGTATTTTCCAAATTCGTTTTCTCAGAGGGTTGACTCTGATGAACAGCAAAACGGGTCAAGTTTCTTCGGACAACAGAACATGTTAGTTAGGCAAAGTCACTAGGTATGTTTATTCATGGTGGTAAATTCTTAAGAGGAAGGGGTAAATTGATGATGTGGAAAACCATGTCCATGGCATATCAATGTTCCACTGGTACGAGAGTGAATTAATCAAAACTGGGATGTGAATCAACCACAGTTACAACACAGGCGAATACCGGCAGGCATATGTTACATGTCCTTCCCACAGGGGAAGGATGCAAGACATACTTGTTTACAAGTATACTCCTCAGACCTGATGCCGCAACGCAAACCGTATCGCTGCAACCCGTAGAAAAAAGAAGTTACAACGAGACAAGCATGCTCTCCGTTGCACCAGATGACTTCTCTTGCACTCGTGCTCCCGACGGGTCTGGCTTGTGTACCCGGATGCCGCTCAAGATATACCCACCAAACGCGTTCATCTGCATGTGTGGGTGGCTGCGCAATGGAAGGACCTGCATCCAAAGGTAAGGGAGATTAAAATAACAAGGAAATCAGCACAGTTTCTGGTTTTTATAGATGATTTACCTGCATAATTCACGACACTAGTCACAGACCCTTTGTTGAATTTATAAGTAGCATTCATAATTCAGAGGCCATTTTTTTTGCATTTATAAACCAATTTTGTTGCAAGCATGCTCATCACACACCACAACAACCCAGCAGTTATTAGTACTCCCTCCGTTTCTTTTTACTCCGCATATAAGATTTGGTCAAAGTCAAACTACACAAAATTTGACCAAATTTATATTAAAAAATATGAACATCTACAATACTAAAACTATATAGTATGAAAATACGTTTCATGGTGCATCTGATAATATTGATTTCATATTGTGAATGTTTATAATTTTTATTATAAAGTTAGTCAAACTCTACAAAGTTTGACTTTGACCAAACCTTATATGCGGACTAAAAAGAAACGGAGGGAGTACTCAAGTAGGGTGGCAACAAAATTGGTTTATAAACAGCGAAACTTTGGTAATTTAGGCTTCAGACAGGTATCCATATATGGACCTTCAAACATTTTATTACTCTACATTCCTTACTGTCAAAATTGGTTTATAAGCAGCCACACTTTGGTAATTATTAATCAGGCTTATAAAAACAACAAGAAGAAAAATGCCTAGCATACTGACCTGATACTCTCGAAGCCAGGGTTCAGTTATCTGTAACCCAATAGCCATTTTCGATACTTGCAAACTATGCATGCAAGTCGCAAGAGGCTGCATGTAGACACCAGAAAACAAAAGATAAGTAACAGCAAAACTAAACTTTACAAAATGAGCAAACAGAAATAAGGATAAAACAAAAAAAAAGGTCAATTTAACACATAAGCTAATGTTTCAGGGAAGCGACAGGATATAAAGGAAATTTCTCTGCAGAAATGCCGCAAGACAAACATTTTGTAGGAACTGGCATCTGTATCAGTTGTAAATAATGAAGATTTACCTGAAGATACTGGTGATAAATAGCAAACGGGGCCGAGTAAGACAAGAGTGGAAGCAAATCAGCAACCACACTCTCCACCTCGTGCCCAGGAGCAGCGACAATCAAACTGCATTAACACAAAACCAATATATTAATGAAAATATTTAGACGCATACTGCAGTTGTCTTCTACTGATGGGAGTGTATTCCGCGTTACCTGCTAAAGCCATGTTCTCCCCAATATTTCATCCTCTCCGGTGAGGGTGCTTTTCCTGCTCTCGGTGCTTTGGGAGCTATTGAATTGCCATTATTTCCTTTGCAATCTACAGACCAAGATAGCATCAGTAGATCGAACATCACACTCTCATGGAAAGTTCTTCGTAATAGATTGATCACTGCTTACCCGGCATAGAAATGTCACCTTGATTAAGGTGCTCATCCGTTGCAGGCTCAGGGGCCTCTATATCAATTGGAATGTCACCTCGATTAAGGTGCTCATCCGTTGAAGGCTCAGGGGCCTCTATAACAATTGGCTGCGCTGTCGTTGACTGCGCATTCCCATCTGATACTTCTGTATCAGATGGTTTTTCCAGGGATGACTGAAGACTCTCGTCTGGTACTGCACTAGGTTCGACCGCATCACCTTGAACGCTACCAGGAGCATTGCCAGAACTTTTCAAGGAGCACAAGTTGCTAAGTGGTGCCTGGAAAATCCTGAATGGAGCTTCATACAGTTACATGTACATACTGATAAAAGTAACAGATGACAACTCAAGATATAATACATAATGATAAGAATGATACTGCATATTATCTGAAACTGTAAATAATGTATCTATCAACATTCTTAGTATGGTCTTATAGCCGCTTTAAGGGTAAAAAGTATGTTTCAGATTAATGTATGAATTTACACTCCTGCTTGCTTTCCAAAGGTTCTCTAACTGACTATCTCCTTAAATGAGAAGCATCTTTAAATGAGAAGCCATATAATGCTCAAAAATTGGATTTACCTGCTGCTCATCTCGCTGTTCAAATTATACATTCTTATTATGTCTATAGAGCTGGGCGCTGATCCAAGATATGTGCTACAAACATATCCTGTACCTATAATAGAAATAACAGAGACAATCAATATTGATTGTAAACTAACATATGCATTAAAACGGCAATGCACAAGCATAATTTACCTCCTAAGCGTTCAGCTACAGCTCCAACAACTAAACCCCCAACCATATCAACGGCAAGCACATCTGAATATGCACCAACATTTGCCATTGACAACAAGAGGGAGAGCGTATCAACTCGCATAAACCTGAGGAACACAGAAAAGACAGTGTTATGTAATTAAGTGCTATAGCTATACACTTCCGTTGTTTCTAGGAAACAAGATCAAGAAATTGACTATGATGATGAAAAGGAAAAAAATAAATTGGCTCCAGCAAGTAATGAAAGGGAATTAATTACCCTATTCGAGCTGGATACTTCTTGAAATATGTCTCACAAATGCTGTAGCATAAAAGGGAACAAAAATATTAGATAATTTTGCATACCTTCCACTTCTAGTAGTATATGCTAAATCCAATGAGCATAATATAATGTAAAAGGAAATTATTTGTTCAAGTGCCAAACACTTGCAAATATAAGTTATGACAAAATTATTCAAATTATGCCAACTTTCCAAATAACTGAGTTAAATCCAGTTCACCTGGTAATCTTTCAAGCCAAAAGCTGGAAAACTTACATGCTCTATTAAGAGAAAATTAAAACCCTCCCATCCCCATCCCAACCAACAACATATCCATATGTCAACTTAAACAAATTAATTTGCATTGCGACTTTTATGCAGCCACAAGTTATTTCTCCCTGTTCAAGAATTCATCCGATTAACCAGTTAACTTGCCGATTAATCCCTACTCATAGGGTTACCGAGTAGCCGATAAACCGAAAAATCATCCGATTAATTGATTAAATGTCCGATTAACTTGCCGATTAGCCGATTAATCCCCTACTCGCTAACCAACCGAGCAGCTACCAGTTAACGATTTCCTCAACAATATTTCTTGTTGTGAATACCCTATACCACCACTTTTAATGAAACAAAGGATACACAAATATTCAAAAGAGCAGCTGTGCGACTCAAATTCCACAGGCTATAAGTTCACAAACATTTCGTTTTAGTCTTCTTCTTATTTTCCCTCTCTACGCACTTTATCAATTGATACACCATGTTCCATGCCATATTCAGATTAAGAAGCACACATTCGGTTGTATTGATGAATGATGGTAGCATATATAATCGTTATGTTCCTGCATCTCTTGATGAAAAACACAGAGGAAGCGTGTATTCAAATGCCTTCAAATTGTACATTGTAGCCCACTACCCGGTAGAAGTTGGTGTGACCTAAGGTTGGCTGGGCTATGTAAAATTAAGCACAACAGACTGGATTGCTGCCATAGAGAGATAGCGGTGATGAGGAAATAGAGAGCAACAGCCTATATGCTAGATGTGTTTTCGTCAATTGTTGTACGAAATTATAAATAAATCAATGACTTTTTCCTACTTCTCCTACTTCATTCATACAGTACAACAATCTTCAAACTTCAGTTAAGAAGAAAGATACTTCAGAGTTCAGAGATATCAGTTCACTACCTTGGACCAGACATCCACTACAAAGGGCTCATCAAAAGATGTATCTTTGTATATTCATACAAACACTACATATGGTCACATACGTGATTGTCATACTCATACAGCACAATAGGTTTGACAGTATTCGCTTTCAAAAAGATATTGATATTTTTCCTGCCGCAAAAAAGGGCGGCATGACATACCTTCTGGTAGAGGGGCGTCGCAAGAGCACTTTAGGCGCATATTTCTTTTGTTTCTTGAGCTTGTATTTCTCCTGCAGCCAAAACGATCGAACCAAATCAGCCCTCAGCGTCCCCCAAAACAGCAAGGAATCAACTAGCCAATAAGTAAGTCAGTCATACTTGTGAGAACACAGTCTTATTTCCAAATGTGGAGCTATTCGCTATCAAAGCCTCCACTATCGCGTCACCGCTCGCACCCTCCCTGTTAAAACCGCACAATGCCAAAATCTCATTAAATAACAGAGAACAGACAGATAAATATCCTGCTCAGCCAAGACACGTGGAAAACGGCCGGTTGGTCGAATCCTCACCGCTTCATTGCCTCGATGTCCTCGCTGGACAGCGTCTGCGCGGTGTTATTGTCGACCAGGGACCTATTGTCCTTGGTCTCTTCCTGCGCCTGGCCCTCCGCGGCACCGCCGTCTCGCGGCTTATCATCATCTGCACCAATCAACCAGTGCCAGCCATTGTTATTAACTAGTAGAGTGAAGAGATGAACTGGAAGGGAAAAGACTAACATACTCATCCTTGCCTTGGCAGGGGAGGAGGCCGTCGGGGCCGACCCGGAAGAGGGAGCCGAAGGGGCGGCCGAGCAGCGGCTGCAGCGAGCAGCTCTTGTCCCCTATCTTCACCGTCCTGCGCCAACCACACACAACATCAGAGAGAGACACGTCAGCGCGGCCGCACGGACAGCTAGCTAGGGTTTCGGAGCAGGAAGCTAATAAGGGAAGGGGAGGGGAGTGTACGGACGCGCCGGGGGTGAGGCGGAAGAAGGCGAGGCGGTCGCCGTCGTTGATGTCGAGGAGCACGCTGCACCCCTCCCACGCCTCCCGCGGTATCACCGCCGTCGGCGGCTGCGCCATTGGTGTCGCCGAGTTCGGGAGGGGGACGGAACAAGAGGAGGGTTTAACACGCGGGCCGGGTCGTTAACAAGCCGGACCCAATTTCAACACAAGCCTGGGCTGGGCATCAGGAGCAATTCTGGGCCGGGCCCACCAACGATTCTGTTGTAGCTAGAAGGGAAAAAGGGCGAGTGTAGAGAGAGCCCATCGTCAACCCCAATCCCCCACACCCTCGTCGCCGGCGCCGGCTCCGGCGAAAACCCTAGCGACCCATGGTGAGTGCTTTGCTTTCCTCTGACCGACTCGCGCTGCGGATCCGCCGCCGTCTCATCTGACTCGTGCTGCGCAGGAGAATCGGTCTTACTACGGCGGCATCGGCAGCGGCAGCGGCAGCAAGAACCCGCCGCCGTCTGGGAAGGAGGCGGGGGATGAGGAGTACGGGGGAGGGTACGACCGGCTGGACGAGGAGGTGGAGTTCCGGCTGCCGAGGGGGCACCGGCCGGTGGAGAACCTGGACACGGAGGGGCTGGAGCAGGCCTCCGTCGACACGCAGCTCGCCTCCTCCAACGTCGGCTTCAGGCTGCTGCAGAAGATGGGATGGAAGTCCGGCAAGGGCCTCGGCAAGAACGAGCAAGGTTTCCCTTCCTTCTTTCCTCTGCTCTCACCTGCTTCTTTACACTCTCTACAGATTCAGTTCAGTTCAGTTCAGTCATCTGTAGAGAGGGTAAAGAAGGAAGCAGGTTAGTTCCTGTGGTTCTTTGCTCTGTTATCAGTCATCATCCTTGGTTCTTTTAGACTCCGTCGTCATCGTGTTCGAGCTCATCGGTTAGTTGTTAGTTATAGATGACATAATTGGTAGAATCAGTAACTGAAGACATAGCAGAGGCTGCTGTCGATGCCGTGTCTGCAGGCCCGACAGCGCAAATGTCGATTCCGTCGGCTTTGTTGGCTGGCTGGCTGACTGGCCACCATGTTAGTTTCCTTGGTTGGGGTCTTGGTGGATTTTAAGCTTGTCTAGGGACACATTTAGGCGAGCCAATCATCGAGAGTTTTGGGTTTGGAGAAAGTTGGTTGTCATTTGTCAATGCAATAAGAGTCCACATTTGCTGCCATAGATGTCGGTTGTCCTGTTTGAGAGCTGCCTGGCCTAGTCTGACTGTTGTTAACAAATGAAAACAAACTTAGGTGAAAGCAACAAGTTTTTGTTGGACTTCAGCTTCAGTCACTGAACCTGCTGTAATTTTGTGTTGGTCAACCATCATCATCATCGTTCTTTCAGACTCCATCGTCATTGTATTCCAACTGATGGGTTAGTAATTAGTTTAAGATGAAATAATTGGTAGAATCAGCAACCCAAGACGTATATCAGAGGTTGTTATTGATGCCGCAGCCGCAGGACGGACAGCGTAATGTCGATTCATCTGGTTTTCGTTAGCTGACGGCCACCATGTTCATTTCCTTGGTTGTGGTTTCCATGGACTTTAAGCCTGTCTAGGGACACGTTTAGGCGAGCTAAGTGTCAGAGAGTTTTGGGTTTGGAGATAGGGGGTTGTCATTCGTCGGCACAATAGTCCACACTTGCTGCCATAGAAGTCAGCTGCCCTGTTTAAGAGCTGTGTGGCCTAGTTTGACTGCTGTTAACAAATGAAAACAAGCGTAGTGTAAATCAACAAGTTTCGGTTAGAATTTAGCCTCTGACTCCTTTAATAATGCAATATAAAGGATAGAAGTCCGCTACCACCATCCCAGCAGGCACTGTAGATTTAATGCTTTGTTCTACTCTAAAAGATCCAGAGAGGATTAATCTGCAGTAGCTTGCTCGTTGACTCAGGTAACAGGAGCATATCTGGTACTCCCTCCGGTCCAAAATAAGTGTCACAGTTTTGAACTAAGGCATAGCAGAGGCTGCTGTTGACACCCCAGCAGCCCAGCTGCATGACCTACGGCATAATATCGATTGTGCTGGTTTTTTTAGCTGACTGACACCATGTTAGTTCCCATAGCTGTGGTTTTGCTAAGTTTTAAGCTTGTCTAGGGAAGCTTTTGGGCAAGTGTTGAGAGTTTTGAGAAAAAGTGGTATCATTCATCAATGCAATAGTAGTCCGCAATTGCTGCCATGCATACACTACTATATAGTTTGCCAATTTGACATTTTCAATCCTAGGATTGAAGTGTAGTGCTCCCTCCGTAAAGAAATATAAGAGCGTTTAGATCAACCATACCTAAACGATTAGGTTATATTGTTAAGTAGCGATCTAAACGCTCTTATATTTCTTTACGGAGGGAGTATCAACCATTGATTGGTATCATCATGTTGGTCCAGTGGTCTAGGTTGCAGGGGCCATCCGTGTACAGTCTTCTGGACCCGTTGAGTCTCAACGATGCTTAAAACAAATCATGCACGAAAGCGACTTTGCGGCAGGTGGCAAGCGCTTATGTCATCTCAGAGAGCGTGGCATCCCTTGTCGTCATCGATCCCCATGGAAAGTGCACCAACTCTTTGCTGACCCCTGTGAAACCCCATCAATGTAGGCTCTCTGCCTCCTAAGCCTTCAGATCAAATCAATCACCAAACCTGGAACCAGACAGAAGAAAGAGAGAGGAACTAAAGGAAACAAAGATGAGGATACTGCAATGAACAAAAAGTCCATATTGATAGATCTGGAAGGGCGGAGTGCTTGATGCAGAGGCTCTGGCCATGCTATTGGAACTTGGGACTTAACGATGTTGATGTTCTTTGGCACATTTGTATGTGTTTGTATAAAGTTCTGGTGTATCGAATGAGTGCACTTGGACTTTGGATTGGAGTACTAGTAGTCTAGTAGAAGTCAGTTGCACTGTTTGAGAGCTGCCTGGACTGAATTCGAGTGCTGTTGACAAATGATTACAACCTTAACGTAAAGCAAGTTCCAGTTAGAATTTAGTCTCTGGCTCCTTTAATGCTCTGAAGGACATATGTATGCTACCACCATCACAGGCTCACAGCACATAGTGTAGCTTTATTCTACTCTAAAAGAATCCGGAGAAGATTAATCTGCAGTAGTTTTCTCGCCAATTTTGGTAACCACAGTATATCTAATGCTTCATATTACTGAAGATCTGGATATTTTCTTTTATTTCTGTCTCATTTTTTGTTCTAAACTTAGGCTACAGTTTCAGCTGAGATGATATTTTGTTCTTCCAAAGACGTTTTACAATTTGGCATTGCCATCTAGTTCCTGCACCTCAACAATACATTACTTTGTCCCGATGCAGGTATACTAGAGCCCATAAAAGCCGGTATCAGGGATGCAAAATTAGGAGTGGGGAAGCAAGAGCAGGATGACTTCTTCACAGCTGAGGACAATGTACAAAGAAAGAGATTAAATGTTGAACTTGAGGAGACTGAAGAGCATATTAAGAAGCGTGAGGTGCGCAATCACACACTGAGTGCTAATTTCTGTATTTTCTTTTGAGATTCTTCCGGGTTGATGCTTCAGCTGTGAGAACCGCTATCTGATTGTCGGTGCTGCATAGCACCTATGCTGGTGTGCCATTTGGATATGGAGTTGTAGCATCAACCCTCATGAATTTTGAGCATCCTGTGCACTTTTTATTTGGTGGCTTCTTTTCCCTGCTTGGTGCGAATCATGACAATCCAGGTCACAGCAGAACGTGAGCAGAAAATCCGCAGTGAGGTTAAGGAGATACAGAAGACATTCTTTTGCAGCCTCTGCAATAAGCAATACAAGCTGGCATATGAATTTGAGAGTCATCTAAGCTCATATGACCATAATCATAGGAAGGTAATGCATTTGCAACACTAGGTCCGTTGAATTTCTTTTTCAATGATTTTTATTTTCTGATTGTTTTGATTTTTGTGCCATACGTCTGTTGCTGTTGATACCTTATGTATCCTTTTCCCCCAAACATGACACTTTGTATATTCTGGTTCTGCAGAGGTTCAAGGAAATGAAAGAGATGCAAAGCAGCAACAGTGGCAACCGTGATGATAGGCAGAAACGTGAGCAGCAGCGAGAAGAGAAGGAGCTGGCAAAATTTGCCCAACTGTATGCATTCTGTACTTTGTCCTCAATTAATAAAACACGATGAATGCTTGTTTTTCCTTAGGAATGCATTGAATGTGTGTTGAACTTGTAATTTCCTTGATGGAACTCGCAGGGCAGATGCTCATAGAAAGCAGCAGAAAGAGAAGCAAGAACAGCCAGATATCTCAGGAGAGCAAGCTACGCCAAAGAACTTGCTGACCCCGGGCAATCAGGATCAGCGTCGAACATTGAAGTTTGGCTTCTCCAAAATGACCCCTTCCAAGGTATCTTAATTCTTACATCAACACCACATTTTGTTCAGCAGATATGACTATGGAAGTAAAGGATATTGTGCTTGCATTCTGGTAACTCTGAACTGTGCTTGAGCTTGTTTGCTCCTGCTTCAGAAACAACATTTTTTTCACAGAATCCCAAAAGAATACCACGTGTACATGTTGCAAATAATGTGGCGCTTTTGAAATTTCATGCAAAAATATGCAATTGTGTGCTGTGCAAAGAAAAGAGACTTGTTTCTCAAATAGTCATATTTTAGCCTCTTATCCCTGTCTTCTTTGTGCAGACCACTAATGAAGTTACTTTTACCTCCTGTTCACTAATTCCACATATGTCTCCTGCTTGTCTCCTGTCAAACTCACTGTACATGTATCATGCTTTAGAAGCTAATTCTGTGAGATCATTCTGACTGAGCATTCCTTCTAACAATGGACAGGCACCTGTTGGCAACATGAGCAAGAAGCCAAAGATTGCCACGAAAGTCCCTTCCGTCTTCGGAAACGACAGCGATGAGGAGGCATGACCTTCCTTTGCCCTCACATGATACCTCACAAAGGAGGGGAATGCCGGCCTTGTCAGCAGATTCCAGTAAGTCATCCCTGAGAAGATGCCGTGCATGTAATGTGCTGCTGGTTTGGGCAGATGTGGATAGCGGCATCTTGGCCAACCCCATGAACAAGCAGGGACTTGGACCGTTGTGGTGTCAATTGTATTGAACTGATGGTACATTGTAAGAGCAACTCTGTCTGTACTTCCATATCAGAGTGGTTGTAACTGGCTTGAGCCATGGCAGGCTGGCAACTAGAAGAACATGGCCCCCCTTTGTTGGGGCACACCTTTTGTATCAATATTGTTGGATTCTTGTGAGATTCCTCGGCGGTCGGTGGGTGGTGAAGTGTATTTCTTTCTCACTTTTTTCACAAAGCAGGTAAAAAGGGAGGGTGATTGATCAGACCAAAGTGCAAATGGCTTGGTGTTGATGGAGCCCCTGGGAGAGGGAGAGGCAGTTGGCTTGACCTGTCTCTTGGAGCCGTGGTCCATCATGGTGAACATGGTTGCATTCATGCATGCATTGACATGTAAACAGTCTCGAGAGATCAGATCACACCTACATGCATACATGTGGATCACCTTTTCACCCCCACATCTCAGTATGAAGTTATTGCACAGATCTGCAGCAGGGCGAGTGAGTGCGTGCAACGCAGGCATGTCAGGAACACTGATGATGATGGTCATCCATCAGGCACACATAACAAACATGCATACATCAGCACCCATTGTTGAAAACAAGAATCCAATTATTGGTCTTTTTGTTCATCTTCTCCCTCTGAAAAAGTAAGTACAGGTCCTGAACCAGTTGCACTTGGGGTTATGGATAAGCTGATGAGCCTCATGTTTCACTTTCTTCCTGCTCTGCTGTGGCCTTCATCTTTTGGTGAGAGAGAGAGAGAACATGCATTGCATGGTCCAGCATTGCCGGTTGGGGTTTTGCTGTGAGGGCATTTGCATGGAGATGGAGCCTTGCAGGGCAGCCGCTAGCTCGGCTCTGCAGATGCCTCGCACCTAACATGCATGCATATGTAGTATTCCTCTTCACTGCTCTGAATAATGCATGCACACACACATGCTGCCATATGCATCTCCTATCCATGCATCGTTGGTTGGTCAGACAAATAACTAACCCAGCCCAGGTCTCCCTCATGTGCCTCTCTCTCACTAGCTTCAGTTTCATGCTATCCGTCCTAGAAAGGTGACACACTTTCAGCAGGAACTAGTACATGTTTTGTTTTCCTCTCCAGCTTTTTTGACATCCATTTGACTATCTATCTAGCCAGCTAAAGAAGGGTGAGGTTACTACTTGTAGATGAGTATGTCAGTTGGTGATTCAGATCCTAGCTAATGTTGATTTGGTTCAAGATGGGAGTTTGATGGTCACATCATCCTGGATGCCGGGATCGACATGGGTTCTCGGTATCGCACGGATCTCGACACACCTTTGTCCTTCTTCTCTTCTACCAGTTGTGCCCTTTTGTTGCAAATACAGCTGCACAGTGTATAAGATGTCCATGTCAGTGTAAGTACCAATCCGCATCCATGTGCCCTGTTACTGCTGCTATATAGCATCTCAATCCAAGCTATTGGCAACAAACCAGAATTTCTTTCCCCATAGAAATTAATCTTAAATAAATTATCAAATAAACAATGTCATACGACTTGAAGATATAGGTCAATTGGTAGCTATGTTGTTTTTGGTTGAAGATTCAAGTTTGATCAACAAATCATGGTGCATGCCGGGGATCGGTGTGTTTTCTTCGTCATACCAAACCAATCTCGACGCGCGTTCGCCTGGATTCTCCTCTATCAGTTGTGCCAAATGCAGATGCTCATGAGAATATGTTATGTCCATGTCTGTGTGAGTGGTAGGGTACATACACCAATCTGCCTCCATGTGCACCGCTACGTACCATCCCAATCCAAGTTATTGGCAAGAAACCAAAATCCATGTTCCCCGCAGAAATTATCTTAAATAATAATAGTAATGTCGTACGACACGATCGATGAGCATGACGTTAACATTAATCGGTTAAGAGAGAGGGACAAGGAACCAAGGATGAACTGGGGCCGAGGGCAGTTAAGCTACTGGGGCAGGTGAGCAATTGGGATCAGCATGTATATTTGTTTAACTGGCCTGCATCTACTTAGCAACTCTGGCACTGGCTCATGATGCATCATTGGCTGGGGAATCAGCTCAACTCCTCCTCTCAGGGGACTGAGCAACATGCCAACATGAGACGGAAAATTGCTTAATAATCGGGCCCATCCATTCTATTGTACTGCTAGATGCTCTCATGTCGTACCCACAACAAGCAGCAATTTGGATATATTTGGGATATGCATGAACTGAGCATCATTTCCTCGACGATCGCCGCCACCCGTGATCTTGCCGATGGTCCGTCTTTTCATGGCTTTTATTATCAATCCCGTGTGCTAACGTAATTGTTCGTATGACCTGATTTATTATGTATTAAGGTGTACAGAAATAGTCCATGAATAGTGTATGGAAATATTCCCTGCTAAAAAAAAGATGTACCCACAACTTGCAACAATTTGGATATATCTATCTTGGGGAAACACTGGTCGATTCAGGACACGTGAATTGAGCACCATTTTCTCACCGATCGCCACCACCCATGATCTCCGTTGATGATCTATCTTTTCATGGATATTTGTCATGTAAATTAT